CCAACCCGTTGCGGGTTAACTAGCCAGTTCATCGACTAATCCGCCTTTATTTATTTATTTATTTTAATTTATATTTTATATCTTGTCTAATTTTCTTTTAAAAAAATACCCATATCATTTATTTGGTTTTTTAATCAAGTATTTGAAGGAAAGATAAAAATTTTATTATATTTTATTTGTATTATAAAAAATATTTAAAAATAAAATAAATTAAAAAATAATGGTTGGCTGGTTGGCTGCCAACCCATCAACCCATGCTGGTTAGGGTTGGTTAAAAGCCAACCCGTCATTATATTGAGCATTTTCAAACCATACCGCATAATCCTAACCTGCTATGGACCAACCCGTGAGTCATGGATTGACTCGTGTTACCATCTCCATTTATCAACTGAAAGACTAGCTATAGCTAACTGTGAGGTTATCAATACTATAGCTGGACCATGAAAGAATTTGTATTTACGAGTATGACTTACTGTTCTTATGAACCATCGCCCTCACATTACCATTTCTTTAGTATTATATTATGTTATAATATTTTGTTCCTTTATTTGCAGGAGGTTTTTATTTGACTAATCTCACTGCCACACCCAGCTCAGACATGGATCATTATTATGGGTGAAGAAAATGCCAACCTGTGTTCATTATTAATATCCCTGCTCTTCTCCCTCTTCTTTGTTTTATTTAATTTTACTTTTATTATCATTCAGCTCAAAATAAAAAAATTTACTTTTATTATCACTTCGTATTTTACATAAAAATTATCCATATCGTTCGTCTCCCCCTTGGATCATTCATATATACGAAATTATTATCCAAAATTCTATAACTTTTACCCTGGCAAGAAAAAAAAAGAAATTATCACCAAAATAAGGTTAGATCATATTTCCTTTGCGACTGTTAATTAGCCTCTAATTTCAATATGGTTGTTGCTGTGCTTTGCAGGTCCATCCAACGAAATCACCATTACGCCGGTTAACAAAGCAAAATTAATTTTTAGTCGCTATTGCTTTAACTTGATTGTAACTCCATCTCTAAATTTTAGCTTGGTACAATGAAATTCTTATAGTTTTAATTCAGTTGCAAGTTGATCTTTGAAATTTGACTTGATAAAACTCAAATCATATAGTTTAACTATTTAAAAATTAGTCCCTATATTTTTAAAAATAAAATTATATATTTCATGAAGTTCAGGGGCTAAAATTTTAAGTAGTTAAAACTATATGAACTAAGTTACACCAAATTAAATCGTAAGAACCAATTTACAGTCGAGTCAAAAACATAGTTACCAAGAGATTAATTTTCCCAATCCAAAATTATCTGTTGCTGTCCTTCAAATTAGCCTGCTGCTGATGAGGACGACGCAGTTATGCAAATTCAGTCGTTAACAGAACTTTAATGAAGGATGATATATTCGTTAGTTACTGTGGGTCTTGCAGAGTCCAACTGAATCGCCAGTGTTGGAGTTCCCTTGCCGGTCAACAACCCACGCTCAAAAAACAATGTACTGGGTAAGGTTAAATTCAAAATTACCTGTTCCTATGCAATCCTCGTTAGGAGAAAACTATTATACTACCTAGTTGAGAATTGAATTTGATCTTAAATATAAGATCGATCTTATTAATTTGACAGTTGAAAAATGATTATAAATTTAAAAGACAAAATACATTGGGTCTTACATTTAAAAAAAAAAATTTATACTAGCTCTTATATTTATGATCAAATGTACTGTTCCCTAGTTATCTTCTTTTCTTTTGAATCAGCATGTTTTTCTTCCCTTTTCTTAACGTGTGATTGTGATAAATTTGATGAAAACACATACACAGAATAGGTGTATATTTTATAATTCAATAGGTGTAGATTTAAAGATATATTTGATTAAATTTATGAATATTTTTGCCTATTGAATTAGTTTTCTATTTTTCTTCTCATCAATTGATTATAAGATGAAAAAGAAATCTCACTAAAATTTACTCATCCTTTTTTATATTTTACATATCAAATTATTAAAATAATTATTTTAAGTATACACACCAATAATAAAGAAATTAAAGTTGGAACATTTACACCTTGATTATATATACTAGTTTAATAATATATATATTAGTGATGTATCATTCATTTTAAATTAAATTATTAATTTAAGCATAAAACCTTTGAAAATGAAAATTTATTAATTATTTTATTTTATTTCTTCATGGTATAATAACACATTTAATAATTTGATATGCTAAATATTATATTTAAAGAAAAAACTGGAAAAAAAATATAATAATTGGTGCTAAAGAAATGACTAAAAAAATGACATTGACTTTTAGCAGCGACTTGTAACTTTTAACGTTGAGGTTTTAAAACCTGACATGACTGTCAGTTAACTTTTTAGGAACATTAAAGAGTGTAAACTTCTTGATCTGAATTCAGAGAGCCCGTCTTTCACCTGGAGGGGCCCTAAAATTGGATTTGCATGCAGATTATGCAAGAAATTAGATCGGGCTGTATGCAATGATGCTTGGAGAAATTTGTTCAGTAGAAGTTTTGTTCGAATAGGCCTACGTATATAGTCTGATCATCACCCTTTTTTTATATATTTGGAGACTGGCAGAGGTAATCCTACAGCTAGACCTTTTAGATTTGAGGTGATGCGGTTACCACACAAAGAATTTCGAGGAATGCTTAAAGAAAACTGGACCGAATCAAAGAATATAAAGGAGGGCTTCAAAATTTGGAGAAACACCTTAAGAACTGGAAGTCTAATGTGTTTAGGCATGTTACAAAAAAGAAGAAAAACCTGCTAAGAAGACTAGAAGGAATTCAACGAGCAGTTCAGAATAACTGCATTAATCCTAAATTAGAAGAAGTGGAGAAAGAAATCCAAGAAGAATTACAGGAAGTGTTAAAGCAAGAAGAGGTCTTCTGGTTTCAAAAGGCAAGAACAAGATGGTTAAATGATAGAGATGGAAACATTGCCTCTTACCACACAAAGAGAAACATCAAAAGAAGGAACAGGGTGAACATGTTGAAGAATGCTAAAAATGAGTGCATTGATGATAAGATTGAAGTGGGGAATATGGTGAATGACTTTTTCTCAAATTTGTTTGCAGAAGCCACTTCTCCTAGGGCCTATATCCAAACCCAACACTCATTGCTGACTGTAGAAAATAAGGAATGGAATCATATGTGCATAATGATTAACAATGTTGAGATCAAAACAGCCATGTTCTCAATTGGCCGGCTAAAAGCTCGAGGAGATAATGGTTACCCAGCAGTATTTTTTCAAAAGAACTGGGGAATAGTTAGTGAAAGTGTCTGCAAGGCTGTCAACGAGAAGTGGGAGAACACAGAAGTTAGGTGAGGTCAATACGACGCTAATCACACTAATACCAAAAGTGGATTATCCCAAAAAGTGAATCAACTGAGGCCTATATCCTTGTGCAACGTAATTTACAAATGCGTTTTGAAGATCATGGTCCAGAGACTAAAAGCCATCATTGAAAAAGTGGTTTCACCATTTCAAGTGACTTTTGTGCCAGGAATAAGCATTCATGATAATATCATCGTAGTTAACAAAATGATCCATTCCATGAGAAGAAAGAAAGGAAGGAAAGGATATATGGCAATTAACGTGGACCTTGAAAAAGCTCATGATCGTATCAGCTGGGAGTTCATAGGAGAGTGCTGACTGAATTGGGTTGCCCAGAGGAAATGACAGACAAAATGATGGCGTGTATTAGCTCAACGAAGACAAGGATCCTTTGGCATGGTGAGAAATATGAGGAAATCAACCCTACTAGAGGTCTCCGTCAGCTAGATTCTGTATCGCCATATGTCTTTGTAATTGGTAAGGAAAAGCTCACACACTTAATTCTTGACAGAGTGAGAATGAAACATTGGAGAGGATTGAGTGCTGGTCATAAAGGACCCATGATAACACACATGATGTTTGCTGATGATCTTGTTCTTTTCGAAAAAGTTAGTACTAACCAAATTGACTAGATTCTTGACTGTTTACAGATTTTTGGGGCAATATCTGGACCCAACGTTATCCAAGAGATCGAAGACGCAAATATACTTCTCAGCAAATGTAGAACCACAAATGCGAAGGAGCATCTACAATAAAACTAAATTTAGACAGGTAGACGATTTGGGGAAATACTTGGGAAGGGAAATCTCCTTCAGGCGTAAAGAGAAGTATGCAAGAATGGTGAAAAGAATAAGGAAGATACTCAAAAGGTGGCAAACTACAAGACAATCCCCAACAGGTAGGATGACCTTAGTTCGCTCAGTGACAAGCTCTATGGCACTGTATCCTATCCAACATGACAGACTCCCACAAAATATTATTGATGAGATTGAAAAGGAACAACGTGGGTTTATATGGGGTGAAGAGGAGGGAATGGAAAAAATGGCATGCAGTAAGATGGAACAAGTCATGTCATCCAAAAGAAGAGGGTGATGCAGGAATTAAATCACTTAAAGAAATGAACAAAGCCTTTCTTCTAAAGATTCTTTGGAGAATTGCGGAAAATCCTGGCGATCTGTGGGTACAGGTACTCCGAGGGAAATATTGCAGAATCAGAGAAGGGGAAAGTATTGTGTCGACTAAAGGAAATGATTCAAGATTATGGAAAGGAGCTGGTCAAAATGTATGATGTGTTCAAAGAGCTAGTAGACAGAGATGGCCAAACCCTACAGGTTCGGTGGAAGCCAAGTAATAATGGCTATTTTTCTGCTGCAAGCAGATACAACCGGCTGAGAAAGGGAGAGGCTACTGCTGAAACGAATAAATGGGAAACAATATCGAAATTAGAGGCACCAGAAACAGTTATAGTGTTTTTATGGTTGATCAATTTGGAAGGCATCCCCACAAAGACTCTCACTAGCAAATAGGGTAGTGAGGACGCCATTTTGTGATATTTGCCACCAGGAAAATGAAGATAAGCTCCGCACTCTTCGTCACTGCCCTTAAGCAATTTCGACATGGAAACTACCAGTCCCTGAGAAGGTCAGACACTGGTTTTTTGAACCTCATTGGCAAGACTGGATAAATCACAGCATGTGAAGATGTGGAAAGCAAAATGAGTCGTACTACTGGCCAGAAATATTTGCTACTACCTACTGTTACATATGGAAGTGGAGAGAAATGGACAAACTCATCATGAAACCAATTTCAAAATGCCAAGTAAGCCCGAAGAACAGGTAAGGAGACACCTACGCGCGTACAGACAGACATGGGATGGCGAAAATATGACACAAAACAGTGAAGAAGTTAGAATAATTACCTGGACACCTCTCCCCCCAAATGGGGCAAACTGAATACGGATGGAGCGAGCGCGGAAGGTGGAGAAGCCGGGTGCGGAGGGGTTATAAGGGGAGACTGTGGGGAATGGTTGGGAGATTTCTCAGTTAAACTGGAGAAATGCAGAGCTATAGCAGCAGAAGCCCATGGAATATATGAAGGGCTTGAACTATGTTCGCAGATGGGCTTCAAATAAATTCAACTGGACAGTGATGCTGCAAACATCGTGAACTGTCTAAAGGAAAAAGAAGTATTGAGAAGCTGCCCAGAAGTGTGCTGGAAAATACTGAACCTCCTTAATAGAGAATGGCGAGTTGAGATACGGCACAGCTACAGAGAGAGCAACAGATGTGCTGACCTCCTAACTAAGATGAGTATCAAGCGGGGTGCAAGAAGGAAGATATGGATGTCAGGCTCTGCCTCCCAAGCTAGTCTCTTGGTAATGGGCTCTCCCCAAACTTCATAATACCTGTGAGATTTCGCAATGTGAGACTCATAACAGAGCACCCTTTCGAGAGCCGACGCCTCCTACAGCTCCACTCTACGGCACTTCACTCGGTCTTCTTATTGTCAAAATCCTCGGCAAGTATCCCTTTCTGGTTGGCCGAGTCTTAATAAAAATACCAACATGATGAGTATAAGTCTAAAAAAGAGCCTTGAACTTAGAAACCACACAATACTTTTGAGATTCCATGATGTGACACTCATAACAGTCTTAAGTAATTCAACTTCTTTTAGTTTTAAACAGAAAACACAGATTTTAAGAATTGATTCGCTAACCTGGCTCATTCGAGGACGAAGATTGGCTGAATCGCGCACTTAATTTGCAGCGCAAGAAACCATTCGAAACATCTCTTCAGAGTTATAGTTATTCTGCAACCTTGGATCAGCGAGAGCCTCAAAGTTTCGTTCTTCTGAGTTCAAGGCTGCAAAGAGTTTAGGTCTTGCCTGTAATTGTAACATGTATCAGTGCAGAAATTTCAAGTATTCATTGTTAGTTATCTAACATTTTGTTCAACACCATTTCTGTTAAAATTTGAAATAGCTGATAGACAAATAATGAAAGTTGGCATCTTGGACTAATTATACTTCGTAACTAATCTGAAAACCATTAATGTAGCCCCAAAATCTCTCATCTAAGGTCAGATCGTTCATATTTAAACAAATTCGAAGAACATAGACTACACACTGGAGAAAATATTGATGAATACTGCACACACCCACTTAACGATGCCATCTGTGAAAGATCCAGAAGGTTTTTGTCCTGTAATCAACTCCAAAAGCACAACACCAAAGGCGAAGACATCCAACTTCTCACTGATTTTCCCGCCATCAAAATACCCTGGAGCTAAATATCTGCATCCCAACGATGAGGGAACCTTTATATAGTGAGATAAGGTTCAAAAGAGAAGATTTTAAATGATCATGCGACTAAGACTTACCCAACGGTTCCTGCCGGTGGTTGCACAGACCGGTGGGTAACAGTGTGTGATAAAGGTTTTGCAAGTCCAAAGTCTGCCATCTGATAAATAGATACAAGCACACGAAAGTAATTATTTTGTTATAGATATAACATATAGTGATATTCAAAGTGCCACGTTGAATTTCAAGATGAGCGAAGTCCAGTAACTTCGCAATTTGTTATATGGCAATTGAATGGATGCTTTGGTGCAGGGAAAACAATATGGAATTCCTCATAACACAATTTACGAAACATGGAAACAGGATTGTGAGTTCAAACTTTTTTCAATGAAATTATTTCGACGAAAAACCCATCTATTCAATTGCAATTCTATATGATCCAGGCGTGTTTGCAAGGAAAGTGAGGTTTGTCTTCACCGAAAATTTAAAGGCACAGGAACTTGCATTTGTGGATTCACGTAGGGGGTGTTCGGAATGCCTTTGGGATGGGAAAATGCGCATTGGGAAGAGTGAAACTTCAGTTAGTAGCTTATTGAAGGGTGAGATATTATTTGAATTAACTTTTGAGTAAACAGGCTTTTGAGAAAAAGTTAGGTTGAAACAAAAGCCAAAATTTGTAGCTTTCATAAAAAAGCCACGGTGGAGATGAAAAAGGTATAACCATGAGATGAGAGATGAGTGTCTTAAAGTGGGTCGTACTTTACTTTAAAAAAATAAAATTTACTCCAAAATTACTCAACAATTATATACTTCTATAATCCTATTTATAAGATAGAAAGAGAAGTTTTTTTTTATCCTATTTATAAGTCATTTTATTAAATTTTTTTTGCATGAATATATAATTTTTTTTATATTTATGATACTCTTGCGGTCCTAAATATAAGACCCTTATACATACTAGTACAAGGGTCTTATATTTAAGCCCGAAGGAGTAGTATATATAGTTATTTTTTTAAAAGGTGGATGGTCTTATATTTAGGACCAGAGGAATAGTATATATAATTATTTTTTTAAAAGGTGGATATATTAAATAGGATAAAATTGAAAAGTTGTTATATTTTAATGGAGAGTTAATGTAGTTTAATTTTTGTTTAATCTATGTTAAACAAGCTGAAAGTATCTTACAAATAGAATCAAAGAAATATGTTTATAAAAGTGTCCAAAGAAAGAAAAAATTAAATAACAAATTTAGAGAAAATTGAAAAAAAAAAGTCTTCATTAAGAATTTAATTGGTGATAAAGACTTAATAAATTTTTATACGCACAAGTAGTAGCACTTTGCAAATTAATTTGTATACAAACCCTTTAATTTAAATCCTTTTTGTTAATTTAAATCCCTATTATAATTTTCTCACTAACAAATATTTTCATTTTATAGTTATAATTATAATTATTTTTTTAACAATTATCACATTTAAATTGTAACACCCCGAATTTTATGATTTAGGATGAGTAGAAAAGAGAAAAATTTATTAAAATTATTTATTTTCCAAATAAAGGGGGGAAATTATGGAATAATGATTTTTAGGGTTTAGAGACATTTTGGAAAAGGTATTTCCCCAAAAATGGCTTAAATAATTTTAATGGATAATTTTAAGAGAAAAATAGTTTATTTTCTCTGAAAATTATGGAAAAATAGTTAGAAATTTATATATAACCTGGAAATTTTGGGATAATCATTTGAGATAGTAAGGAAGATAATTGAGGCATAAAATCCTTAAAATGGGTTAAGGATTAATTTCTTGAATTAAGAGTTATTTTCTTGAAAAATTCAAGAAAAATAGTTATGAGTTAATTTTTGACCCAAAATTTTTAGAGAAATTAGTTTATAGGTAAAAGAAACTAATGGATAAGAAAGATCCATATAAAACATGATGGAAATAGAGAAAGGGATGAAATTGGAAAAGGGAGGAAATGAAGGGGCATAGCGGTCATTGAGCTACACCGTTTCCCTCTCACGTGCCACTTCCCTTTTAACCATCAGATCAGTTATTCACCTCCTTCAGTTCATTTCTGCTGTCCGTAGAAAATCAGAGTGAGAGCGCGAGCGAGAGAGGGAGAGCCCGGGAGAAGAGGCTGTGCTGAATCTTGGTGATCGGAGGTAGTTTTCTTGCATGCAATCAGCGAATCTGCCTAAGGTGAGCCTCCTAAGCACTCTTCTATTGTTGTTTTCTGCAAATGATGGTTAGATATCAAGTTTTGAGTCGCTGGAGTTGATGTTCTAGGGAGAGGAAGTGAGGGAAAGTGGAGGATAGGTGATGGAATCGTGTTTTGTGACAAGATAGAAGTGTTTAGCATTGATCTTCCAGCTTATACGTTACTGTTACCTCTGTTTCATGACTTCCGAACAGAGCATGGTATTTCTGGGTTAAAAGGCATCGGGCTTGAGGTATTAGGAGAGAGGAAACGTGTAATACATGAATATGAAGCTGCATGTTGATTACTTCTTTGTTTCCTGGTTGACTGAATCTGGTTTATAAGATTTGAAGTCAGAACCTTTGATTTCTTCTCAGTGCTGTCAAACTTCTGGGTAAAGAGTAATATGTGTGTGTGTGTGTGTGTGTGTGTGTGTGTGTTCTGTGTTGACCGACAAAACTGGATCAAATGGTTCAGGTGTTGGCATCGGGTTCTATGGAATTTGAAGAGCAAAAAGTGTGGTGATTTTTGCTTTCGGTGGTTTAATAGTGCTGTTCAAAAGGTTGAAGAAGACGGGGGTTTAGGCGTTAATGAAATTACGATGTGTATGGTTGAATGTGGAGTTCTCTTGGAGGAAGATTATTTTCGAGAATCTGGGAAATACCCAGACTTGATGTGAGGGCTATATGAATTTGACAAGAGCTAAAATGATTAAATAATGGAGTGCCAGTGTGTGTGTTGATTGGAGGTATAATAAGAGATGGAAATTCCTGACTAAACACCTTAAACCACTTTAGAGCCTAGAGGGAGGAAGCTTAAATTAATGAAGACGATCTAAGTGATAATATAAGCTGGAAAATATTTACAGATTGAGAAAGATTAATTGAACAGTTTTGGGAGTTAGATAATATTTAGGAAAGTGAATTGAAATCAGAGTTTGATTTGATTTTGTTAATTAATCCGAGTTTCGAATCTGAAATTTTATTTTAAGAAGAAATATAGTTGTTGGAATTAAGTTAAAGAAGATGGGTGATGTGGAATTGATTTGGGGTTATTGATTCATGCTTATAAAATATGAATTAATGTTTAAAGAGAGTTAACTTTTATTATAGGTTTGAGATGCGAAGGTTAGAGCATGTATTAAAGATGGAGGAATTTTTCAGATTATCAGTAAGGATGCTAGTAGCTTGGCATTTGTTGTTTAGAAGGTTGTAAGGAGTTGAATAGGGAAGTAATAGAAGGATTACATAAAGTTTTATATTAATGGGAATGAGAGTGTGATGCTAGCCGAAAGAATACGGGAAAAATTAATGTTTGAAGTTTGGGGCTTTGAGTCTAAGATTGATTGAAATTGAAATTTAGAATCAAGTTGATTACACAAGAATTAAAGATGAAGAAACAAAGTTGTCGATATATCTATATACTTATGCATATCTTTTGGTCAAGCTTGTTAAGAAAGAGGTTGAGCTTCTTGATTTAAATCCAAATAATTGGGGCTAATGGTTAATGATGGAAGGTAGTTAAGTGTTTAAATGAATTCTGAATGATTTAGTGGGGATTCAAATGATTGAGTTATTGACTAAATTTCTAACAAGGGAGATTGAATGTGTATTTATAAATGGGTACGTGTAAATCAAAGTCATTCGGACTGTTTACTGAATTGAAACTCAAGTAAGTAGACTTGAAAGCAAACGCATGTGAGACATGACATTGTCCAAATAGTATTTTTGACCAAGATGACTAGTTACTAGCAAAGTAACTATATGGGTTGAGATAAGGAAGGAAACCCTCCACAGTAAATTATATTGGATAAGAAAAATTATCCAAGATGACCAACTATTATGTAAGGGTAGAGATTAAAGAAGATTTGAGATTTAAAGATAGTTATTTAATTTATGAATTACAGTTGGATCAAGTGTTAATCTACCCTTACCAATATGATAGGTTTATATATATGCTCAAGCCCACCAAGAAGCAGAAAGAAAGGAGAATGGTAAGGTTTGGTTTGGAGGGAAGCAGACCAGGTAGTAGTTCTTTCCTACCTTACACTTGTGTATGATTGCTGCATGTCTGTTTGTGCCATATTGCTTTTCTAAAGCATGAGAACATGTAATCCTTAATTCCTTGCATGGATTATTTAGCCGTGATCACGTGCAGCTGATAGACATGGGGCAGTGATTGCCAATTATTTGCGCGGCAGTGATTGCCAATCATTTGCGCATTATTTATTCAGCTTGTCTAATAGACATGGGACAGTGATTGCCAAGTATTTGCGCATTATTTATTCAGCTTGTCTATCTGTCATTGCGCATAAATACTTAATTGCATTAGCTTGCAAGGTTATGTTCCACTTTGGCTTGTTTTGCATGCTTTATGTAATCTGCACATTTGTTTGATGGAAATTACTACTACGGGGATTCGTTCGAATCTCACCCTCCAATTTATGATGAACAGTGAAAGCTAGTAGCCCGAAGGACAAGGAGGTTGTTTAAGAAGAAGGTGGGCTGATTGAAGAGCAGAGATACCTGTTATAATTCTGTAAATTGTATAGTAAAATATTTGGGCAAGTAACTTTACTTGCTTTATGAAAATATTATTTTGTATCCTCTAGAAGAAGGAGGTGAGCATTGCCAGGTGCACGTAAATGCTATCTACCAAGAGCGTTGCTTTATTTTAATATAATATTATAAGATTGTATAGTATGAAATTATTTTAGGTGATAATAGATTAAGTTGAAAGCAGGGTTGATATGGGATCACTCATCAGTTATCTGAAAGTTTGAAATATTTGATCAACGGATTCCAATGTTAAAGGAAAAAAAAATCTCTGTCTTTTCCCAGGTCGGAAACCTGACATTAGTGATTTCACTGTCGTTAAAATGATCTATTAGTATATATAAAAGTTAGGTGTTGCATAAATTATATACTATAAAACACTCCTATTTAATAAAATTCATGTCTGTTTTGGTCATTTTACATGTAAACTTATTTTTCTATTAATCATCCAAATAAGTTTTAACCTTTTTACCTGACTTTTTATAAGCATCAATTTAAACATAAATCACATTATGCTAACTGATTTTTATCCTAACTTAAGTTTGTAAAAATCCGTTGGAATAAAAGTCACTTTTACTACTACTAACCCAAACACAGCCTTAGTAATTGTATAGTAACAAGAGAGACCCACTTTTGGCTGAAAATCATCAAGAAGAAGAACGTTGGCTGATTTGATGTCGGGGTGTATGATTTTGGGTTTGCCTAAAACAAAACATCAATATTGGATAGAAAAAGAGAAATATTACAAGAGTAATAAAGTCAATTAATAATTAAGACTTCTAAAGAGTACGACGAAATTAGTTATACAAAGTAATCTCACAGCCTTCATGAAGATATCTCAATCCTTTTGCGGAGCCAATAGCAATCTTCATCCTCGTTTCCCAGTCTATAGTTTCATGCCTGCACCTGAGGGATTATATGTATCCATAGTATTTTATGACTTATACGTAAGATCAGGCAAGATATCAATTCCTCTATAACAAAGCGCACAGGAAGCCAATACATGTAGTAACTCAAAATAACAATATGCTAAAGTAAACAACTGAAGATTATTATCGCAATTATTCTGTGCGAACGTCTGCAATTATAGAATGTGGCCCCTGTCCTACTACTTCTTCTTGAGACTTGTTTGTATTTAAGCCACTTAATTAAGTCGAATATATCCAAAAATATACATGTTATAATCATTCCCTTTTGAAAGTGGGTCCAAGTCTTACCATGCAGGTGGGAGTCTAGTGAATTACTCCTCCTCCAGTCCTTAATATAAAATACATTTAACTAATTTGATTAGATTAAGAAAGTTAGGTAAGTTAGTTAATTATAAAAAATGTGAAATGTTTTTCCTAAAACATCATAATAATTTTATCTAATACCCCCTCTTCCTCTTTTACCTGATTATGGTTGAGAGAGTATCTATAGGGGTAATTTAGAGAAAATTAATAAATATGATAAATAGGTCTTATATTTAGGACCAAGACCAACTCAACAATTGGGTCCTATATTAAGGACCAGAGGAGTATTTCTTGAAAGATACAAGTTAATGTCTTAATAATTATATTATTTTACTTTAAACACACAACATGCTTCTTCTTTTTTTTCTTTTTTATGTTATCAAGATTTAGTAATTTCTTCATGTAGATATAGGAAATCACTTTAAGGGGGTCTATCAGTGTTATTATATATCACTCCTCTGGTTCTAATTATCTTATATTTACGACCAAAAGGAGTACTATAGATAAGAACAAGGATTTTTAGTGTGCCATAAACAACAACTACTTAATCCCACTAAATATTGAATCTTGGGGTAGGTGATTGACAAGATATTTTGTTCGTAGATGAACACTGAATCTTCAGTAACAAAGAAATTGAAACAGAAGACTAAAAAAAAAAAAAAACAAAATAATGGTCTTATGGAATATCTAATCTCAGAATATAAACCACATTACAATACCGCAAGCACCGGCGGGGCTACGAGTGCATGCCCATTTCCACACACTGAGTCCAACCTAACCCTATGCAATAATCATGTATCACATGGCATGATCCTTAGGACATAAGGAGTTGTAAAAGTTTGTATACTTATTTCGTATGGATATCTAAAATGCTCCAAGAAGGAGACGAACGACAGGGGCTAATGACTGGGTTAGGCTCCTGAGCCTAACTTGTTAAACTTAGTTTAAATATATGTTGAAAAGATAACGAAAGAGTATGTTAAATAAAGATAAAATAAGTAAAAATACATTTAATATTTAGACGAATTCAAAATATATCTTATAAAAAAAAAAACCAAACTATCAAAACTTTAGATCTTATAAAAGTAACAAAGGGAAAGGAAGTATCGGTTTACCCCTCCGTAATGGCATTATTTGCACGTAATTAAATAATCTTAAACAGTTTTTTATTATTTTCTTATCAACAGATGCCACCCAACCCCACTCACCAATAGAGCTGTCAAAACAGGCTAGGTCCACAGGGCCAGCCCTTTTAAGCCTTTCTAAGTGAAGGGACGAGTTTGTATATTAGGTGGCTCAAAAGAAATTAGACTTAAAAGGGTTAGTTCTATAGGACTCAGAAATAAAAGGGCCAACCCGTTAGGGCTAAGGGCCAGCCCTTTTAAACCCACATATTTTTTTATTATTATCAATATATTCATAAAGTTATGAATTAATCTTTTATGAACAGGTTTGAATTTGAAAAATATTTATAAGAACCAATGCTCAAGCTAGATAATTGAAAAGAATTAGATGTCTTAGACTGGTGGAAGAACAATTAAAATCAATTTTCAATTCTTTCAAGAATGGTAACTAATATTCTTAACATTCCAATTACTACAGTAGCTAGTAAATCTTTCTTTACCATCGGTTCATGTGTTTTAACAAAGTATGAAAATTTTTTTATTCAAACAAATGTTCAGGCTCTCTTTGTACTTATAATTACTTTATAGTTTTATTTTAGATTAGAGAGATGAAGACAAAAATGTTAATATTTTTATCAGTGAAGAAGAGTTCACTTGTAGTGAAGAACAATCAAATATTGCTGATCTTGATGATACTGATGAAGATAAAGGTAAAGATAATAATCATATTAATGTTGTTAATCTTTAGCTGCTAGATTTTTATCTTTCTGTTTTTCCCATTTCATTAGATTTTATTTTATTTTATTAATTATGGACAATAGCTTATTGGTATTTAACTTTTTTTTCCTATACAGCATTAGCTTATTTTACTAATATTTATAATTTGAATAAAATTTTTTAGAAGTTTTGTTGTTTTATTTTTTTTATTTTAAAATAATTGAAAAGAATTTAAATTTTAAAAAATAACTTAAAAGGGCCAATCTTTTTAAGTCCTGAGTCCACATGTGCAAAGGCTAAGTTTTAATAATTAAATAATTTTAAAGTATAAGAGCTTTAAAGGGCCGGTCTTTTTAGGCCCTGGCCCTTCAAGGGCTAACTTTTTAGGATTGGACCGGTCTTTATTGACAGCTCTACTCACCAATCACTACTAAAAAATGATTTTCCTTTTTGGGGTCTACAGGAGCTTTTTCAGAAGGCTTCTTGTAGGCGTAAGGCGTCCTCGTACGTTGGTGTGTGAGCGCTTCAAAATCGCTTTTGTGGATACCGCTTACGAAATTTGGACCCAAAAAAAAAAAAAAACCACTTACGGAACGTTCTTCCAGGTCATGTCCTAATTTTTTAAAAAAATAAAAAATTTCATTTCCGAATAATAACACCAGCGAATGATATACAAATTAGAACAGCATTTCAGCAACAATAGGTTAACATTATAACTTTCAAAATCCGAAATTAATATATGTATGTATGTATGGACACATCTGAAGAACAAAAAGAGGAAGGAGAACACACAGGTCTTATTGTTTAATTAATATTTTTTTAAAAAATATTTTCTCTCTAAGCAGAGAAAATCTAAACAATTGTTCATGCATGCAATTAACAGTTTGATTCATTTATGGCTTCTCCATTATTGTTTCAACTTATTATTTTCTTCGCTCTAACACATACGAATATTCAGAGTCATCTAACTTTCCCAAGTTGATGATGGTAATTAAGAGAAAAGTAAATATGATTATTGGGGATAATTTCTTAAAAACGGCATTGTCAAGGTAAGAAGTTAGGGTTAAGGTAAATCCAATACCTTGAAATACTTTTTTTCAATGCATCCAGTACCTTTAAGTATTTTGTGATATATCCAACACTGCGGTCAGCATCCTGAAGAATTTTTTTTGCCTTGATGTTGGATGCATTAAAAGATATTCAGCACCAAAAAAAATATTTTAACGTGCTGGATGTATTAAAAAATGCTTGACAGTGCTAGATGCATCTAATAAAATATTTCAAAGTATTGGATGTACCACAAAATACTTAAAAATGTTAGATGCATATGAGAAAATACTTCAGGGTGCTGGATGACCCTAAAAATTATGAAAGTTTGTATAACAATTTCGTATAAATGATCCAAGAAATTTACGTATGAAAGTTTGTATAATAATTTTGTATGAATGATCCAAGAAATTTATGTAAAATATATTACTCAGTGATTGTGAAAGTAAAATTAAGTAAATAAAACAAAGAGGAAAGAGCAGATATTTTCGCACGTGTTGTTTATTGTCACCTCACAATGCAGAAGAAGTTTATTACCTCCTGGTTGGTGTGGTTGTGCAGAGGGGTTGTCTTTTCCTCTCATCCTTCTGTTCCTTCTCGCTCTCCATATAAACAAAACAGCACATAATAACCCCAGTATCAGCAACAAACCAGGCACAGCTAGTCCTGCGATTAGCAAGATTGATGGAGACCGGTGGGATGCCGGAGGTGGTTCCGCAGGCGATACGGACCGCACCGCAGGTGAAGCTGGGGCAGGGGCAGGGGCCTCTGTCTGCGGAGGCGGCGAGAAGTTATCAGGTGGAGGCAGCGGAGGTGGCGTGTTGTCCCAGGGAGGTGGGGCAGGGGGAGGGGCCAACTCTGTCGGCGGAGGCGGTGAGAAGACTTCAGTTGGAGGCGGCGAGTTGTCCCCGGCAGGTGGGGCAGGGGCAGGGGCAGGGGCCGACTCTATCTGCGGAGGCGACGAGTCGTCCCAGGGAGGTGGGGGGGGGGGCGACTCTGTCTGCGGAGGCGATGAGAAGACATCAGCTTGAGGCGGCAGAGGCGGCGAGTTGTCCCAGGGAGATGGGGCCTCTGGCTGCTAATCGTCGAGTCTGTAATGGGGGAGATGTGTACCCAGAGACGGTGGATGCATCGCCGGCGAAGAGTTAGTTGTGGCTTTTTCCGTTCAAGTGCGTCTACTTGAGCTTTCTGAAGCAGCGAGCGAGGGCGATGATATATAGAATATTGAGAGCAGCAAGGGATCTCTTGTTATTACAAGACTCCCGTTGACTCCACGTTGACTCTGTCTAACTCAGATTACGAAATACTCCTCTGGTCTTAATTATAAAACCCAATTGACTTATTTAAGGAGATTAAGGAAGTAAGTTAAGTTAGTTATTTATACTCCCTCCGTTCCTTATTATAAGAGACATTTGATGCTTATGGCATGTTCCTATATATAAGAGACACTTAAAAATTGTCTCTACTTTTTTGTGTTGATTTCCTATTTTACCCATATTTATTATCTCCAACTCACACTCTCTCCCCTTTCCACTTCTCTTTCTTTTAATAATTTAATTATTCTCTCTCATGCTCTCTCTCCTTATTAATGAGGGCATTTTTGGAAAAAAATTTATACTTTTTACACATTAATTGTTCTTAACTAATTTTAACTATTTTTTTGATCAACGTACTTCGGTTATTTGTCTCTTATAATAAGAAACAGAGGGAGTAATAAATAAGTGTTGTTATTCTTAAAATATCCTTACTGATTAAGTATATTGGCTAAAACTATCATTATTAGAAGGATATCTTAGAAAAAAATACATAAATATAAGAGACAAAATGTATTAGGATCTTATAATTAGGACCAAATAAAAAGTCAAATGAGATCTTATAATAAGGACCGGAGGAGTACCATTAATTAAATTTGCCCAATTGCACAATGACGTTACATCTAACAGACGCTGGTAGAGGCGTTTAATTTAGTGACATTGATTGCTTTTGAATTTTCTTCACCCATACGATCCATGTCTCAACACCTCAGTCAGTGCTGACGAAAACCAAGAAATAAAGTCAATGTCTATTTCACACAACCTTAAGATTCGAGAACCTAACTAACCACATAATAACTCCTAAAATATACTATCTGCCTCTTTAATATAAGAGCTAATTATTAATAGTTAAATTTGATTCTAAATATAAAATATCAATCCACTTAATTTCTTAAATTTATAATTTTTTCTCTAAAATATCCCTATTGATTATTGTAAGAGTGAGGTTCTACTAAAAAATAGTTTCAATGCACATGATTAAATAAAAATGATAGTTTAGAAAAGTTGATACATATTTGTTATAATTAACCAACTTAATTAATTTTTTTAATTTTCTCAAATTAGTTATTTAACTTTTATATTAATAACAGCCGTGCCTGCTAACAAATTTTCCGGGGCTTCCCATTCAGTTTATTTCACGCGCCTCGTTTGTGTCTCTTGAATTCCTGATCATGAACGTACTAATGCTTGAGGTAGATTGATTTGATCAGATTAAAATATGGTTAAATTCAACAAACTTGTCATAAATTTTGAATTATGTACCGATAATACCACTCCCGTTTTTATTATAAGTTTCTTGTGGAAGAAATTTTTGTCTTAAATATAAGTTCACTTAGAGAGTTATTTAGGACTGTTTTTACCCTTATGTAATTCTTGTTGAAAAGATAGAAAGACGAAAAAGATGATAATGATTTGTAAATGTAGAGGGAAATAAAATTTTAATAAGGATAAACTTGAAATTTTTTTATCAACTTAACACATATTTAATGACTTAATTATCATTCATTGATACGTGAGAATTCATTGAAAGGGACTCAGAATGGTACTCCCTCCATAGCTTATTATAAGAAACAACTACTAAAATCTCGCAGTCCAAAATGTTAATTAAATGTAGTTAAAAGTAATAAATACATAAGATATATATACAGATTTTTTTAATTATACCCTTATTTGTAAAGAGAGTACATGAGAGATAATGAGTAAAAATTAATTGCAGAGAGCTAATAAGTGGCATATATTTAATGGTGATAAAAATGAAAAGAATCTAGTTTAAAATTTCATATAAAGATGATTTGTTTCTTATATTTAGGGACACCATTATAATAATTTAATCTTTGGAATTCATCAACAACTGCTACAATCTCTTAAATTTTACAGTTATAAACTAATAATACATCATTGACATTTGACAATGAGTTCTCTTAAATCTTGTTCATTTTAGATAATTCTATAAAATTTGAATTGCAAGTATATACGCATCAGTAAATTTTACTCCCTCACTTACAAACTTATATATAAAGATATAATTAAAATTTTTTTTTTACATATTTATTATCTTTAACTAGTTTTAATAGTTTTATTAAACTATGTAATTTAAATATTTAGATTTTATATATAATGAGGCGCAGAAGAGGGAGTACTTGGGAATCATGAATGAAAGAGAACGAAGGCTGCGGAGTACCATAGAGATGTGGACGAGGCGAATGGGTGGAAAAGTCGTTTTATTTAAAACATCATATTTTTTTAGTCTTTCCGAAAGTACACCGATGGGGAAGGGATTGTAGTTCTTCTCATAAAAATACTTCCAAATACTTACAGTTCCTCCATCAAAACTTTTAATTAGGATAAAAATAACTCACAATCCTATGAAATATCCAGTTGCATGAAGATAAGGCTCTTTTTCATTAAATATTTTCTATAGAATAGTGTGATATTAATTTTGATTTTTTAACTTAAGAATGTATGATTTAAGTCTAATTTTTTTAAAAAAATTAATTCAACTTCTGTTACTAAATTTCACCATTGATGCTGTTAAATTTTGCTAAACTAGTCAATCATACTTCAATATCGACGTAAAGTATAAAATCTGGCCAAAAAAACGAAAAAATAAAATTAAAAAACGACACTGTTCTTCAATTGTGAATAATATATGGCATTCCGCAGGCTACCTGCAATGCATAACAAACCCACCTAAATTTCTTAATTCTTTGAATAAGTACATATGTAAAAGCGCCCATAATAAGTGGTAATTAAACATTTTCAGAAACAATAATTAATTTTTAAATGACCAATATAATCGGAAAGAGTTAATCAAAAACATTTAAGTAGAAATTATGGCAAAAAAATAAACCATACAATGAAAAGAAACTACTATAGTTATAAAAGACTATCATAATTACTTTGAAAGGTCAGCCATGGTAAAAAGAACAAAACTAATCAAATAGAAATCTACCATAGCCATTAACAATTTACATCCATAACAGTGCAGTAGCCACTATTCCAGAATAGTAGAGATAATTAATGTAACAAGAAGTAATCAATACTTGATTTTTCATGTGTATAATAACTCCATCATGAATATCTATAATCCCCAAAATATAACTAAAACATATCATGAATGGGTTATAGCATTTGAAATCCACCAAAATAACTAACACTACTACCCATATCAATCGCAATCAAAGTAACAGTCACCTATACTCAAAAAGGGCTCCACCCAATAGCTCAAGTTTAGAATGCAGTGGAAAAATTAAACATATGTTAAGTTTAGCAAAAAAGCCTTAAAGTTTGGCAATATACATCAAACAAATCATGTACACCAAAATAGAGGCTACACAGAGTTGGAAGAGCAACTCAAGCCTTGGACAACTTCTCCTTGGGACCAACACCTGAACCCTAGCCTGAAAAAATATTAAATAACCACGGGGTGAGTCAAATTGACCCCGTAACCACAATTCCAATCCAACAAGTATACAAGGGGTGATTACAAGATAGTTAAGCGAGTAAAGTACAATTTTAAATAACATATAAGGTAAACATCTTTACAGAAAAAATATATAATAATTTCAAAAGATAACTTACATGCACAAAACTTTATCAACTATCATTATAACCTCCTTGTAACTTCTGACAGAACCCATGGGCTAATAATACATAACAGGATTCAACTCTTTAACAAGACTACACCAAGCTCTCTAATAATGAGGTATAACTCAGCCAAAAGTTACAGAGCTCATATCGGACCATGAGTTCTCTTTCCTTGGAATGCGGAAAGGTCCCTTGGGCTAACCCTTGACCAGGCCAAAGGAAGGGTGATATCAAGGGCCCTAAGAATGTTAAAGCCAGCCATTGGGGGCCAAGTGGTAGCAATACCACGTGGTATAAATAATCAAACTTCCCACAATTACATTTCAGCACAACCCAATATAGCATAACCCAACAATCCAATTCCACACAATTCAATATTCATAAAGTATTCTCAAATTCAATAATTAAATTTGTTCAACATCAACAAGATATTCATAAGATGAAATAATTCATGCCCACTTAATTAATAAATTTATCAAAACATAAATTTTCAAATATACATGTGTGTATATCACTTTTTATACATAAATCACTATAACATATAATGATAACATTTATAATATCAACACATGCTTATAATCACATCAACAAGCATACAAGGTAAATTAGAAAGTGGGTATCTCAAGTTCTTGATACAAGAACAAAAATGAGAGGATCAAGACCCAAGAGCCCAAACCAAGCTCACTCTACAATAATAAATTGATAAACATATATTAATACAAAAAGACTAATTAATATAGCATT